TATATTGATGTCTTCTTCATTTCTTATTTCCAAAAAGAGCTTCATGTCGTCGGCATGAATAAGCAATTTAAGTTTTTTGAGAATGTGAGATATGTCGTTTACGTATAGAATAAAAAGGAGAGGTCCCAAATGAGAGCCTTGGGGGACGCCTGACTTGAATTGGGCTCGATTTCTTTCCGTTGAATTTAATTATTTGTTGGCGGTTAGTTAAATATGATTCAAGCCATTTCAGGAGCCCTGACTTAATTCCATTTTTTTGCAGTTTAAAGAGTAACATTGGTATGTCAATGCGGTCAAATGCCTTGTTAAAATCTGTATAGAGAGCTTCTACGTGGTTTCCATTATCCATTGCATTCAATGAATAGTCTATAAATTCAAGTAAGTTGGTCGAGGTCGAACGACCCTTGAAAAAGCCGTGTTGCATGTCAGTAATTCTATTTTTGATTTGGAGAAATAATTTTTCGTTGATAATTGACTCGAAAAACTTAGGAATGCAAGAGATAATGGCTATACCACGATAATTACGTACGTCAGATTTTCGACCAGATTTAAAGATAGGTACTATAAATGAGCTTTTCCAAATTTTAGGGAAGGTTCCGGATTCCAGGGACATATTAAAACGCCAAAACAATGGAGCAGTGAGTTCCATTGCTAGACATTTAATAAATACTGGAGGAATTCCGTCAGGTCCAGGACCTTTTGAGGCATCTAAATTTTTTAAAGCCTGCAAAATGTCCTGCACTTGAAGTTGATTGAGGCCAATGTCCCTTGAAAATTCTGGATAAAATGCAAAATAATCGCGGTCACGATCTTCTTCAGAAAATGTCGTATAAATTTCTTGAAAAAATTTTGCGAATAGATTACAGTTTTTTTTTTCGAACTATCACTGACATTTTCGTTGCATTATTGAAGGAAAATTGTCAGATTTTAATTTCGTTTTTACGTAATTAAAGAAGTTCTTCGGACAGGACTTTATTTCACGTTCAGTTTTTGCATTATATTCTTCAAATGCAGTACTGATAGCTAAATTCAGTTGATCGCATAGATCCAAATAAATTAATATATTATTACTACTATTGTGTTTTTTATAAATTTTATGTGCTTTTTGCTTCCGATTTTTCAAGTTTTTTATTTGTCTGTTAAACCAGACTGGATTTTGTGTGTGTCTGTTACGTCTTTTTTTCTTCAAAGGTATTTCTTCCGAAATTATTTCTGTTAAAATTTTGTAGAACACGTCTATACCAATTTCGACATTTCCTACATTCCTTAAAATTAATTGCCAATTGACACTGTTTAATTTAAATTTTATTTTTTCGTAGTCTGCTAATTTGTATTCAAAGACTTCTTCGTATTCGCAGTCGTTGGGTCTTTGGTTTTCATGCATAAATAAAGAATATTCGATTGCTGTGTGAAACGCTTCATTTTTCCACAGTGGATTTAATGATTCGGTCACATGAGTTGATGGGTCGATAGGTAGGGTCCAGGTGTGGGAGCTGCCTTCCTGGCGTCGGTAGCATTGGTGCTCAGCACGGAAAACAAGATCGACGGAAAACAAATCAAGGAAAAAAACGGATTGTCTTAGCTCATTGGAGGCCGATAAAGCACTTCTCGTATTTCCTGCCTGAAATACGATCTAAACTGAGTGTTTTATCCAACTGCTCCTATACTATCACCTTAGCTTGGGTCCCATCTCATTGCTCAATTCCGGGTAATGAGAAAGCGGACTCGTTGGCTAAGGTGGGGGCGCTATGGAAGGCAATATTTTTGAACGACAAATTGCCTTCAACGAATTTTTCTCCATTGCTCGTCAGCAAGTCCTCATCAGTTGGCAACAAAAATGGAATGATGGTGATTTGGGAAAATAACCACATTATATTCTTCCACAGGTTTTTTGTTTCTTGATTTGTTTTCCGTGCTGAGCACCAATGCTACACACTTAATCTAGCTCGGTGAAATCTCCAACAGCCGATTACCTCGGCATTTACTTTTGCTGATATCTCTGCAAAATATCTGTTTGTTAGCTGATATCTCAGCAAATAGTTATTTGTTAGCTGAGTCTCGGCAATTGTTTTACTGAATCTCGGCAAAATAAATTGCAGAACTACTCGGCTGTTGAAATCTCGGCGAAAAAATTTAAGTGTGTACCGACGCCAGGGAGGCAGCTCCCACACCTAGGCCCTTTCTATCGACCCATCAACTCATGAACCGGGGACCAACGGCTTTACTTCCCATCCGAAAGAAGGCGTGATTAGAGATGTTATGCTTCAGAACATCCCGGCGGCGCCGACTGGGATTGAACCCAGGCTCGACCCAGGCGTACTGGGGTGAGAGGTAAACACGCTTACCACTACACCACCGGCGTCGCTACAATTCTCCCACAGGTGTCGAACAAACCATGGTTCAAAGGGTTGGACATGAGCCGTGACTTTATACGCGTTATGTCCAATCACTGTTCGTTAGACTCGCACTTCTATCGAATTGGGCTCTCAGGCAGCAATTTATTTGCGTGTGGCAGTGGTTATCATGATATCGAGCATGTTGTCTGGTCATGTATCCTACACCGTGTTGTCAGATCTGAGTTATCCACATCCATCAGGATCCGAGGAAAACAACCCGCGATACCCGTTAGATATGTCTTGGCTAGCCGAGATTTCGATTATTTGAATTTAATTTATGTGTTTTTAAAACAGATAGATCTGAGGATTTAGTGGTTAGTTTCATCTTGTGTTTTCCAAAGTTGTTAGCTGCCCATCGATGTATCCCCATGTTTGTCTTATTCATCAGTATGTCGCTTAGTTCGAGATCAAGCTCGAGATCAAGAGCACATTGCTCTCCAAACCTTGTGTTCTCAATCCCTATCCTGCCATCCATTTGTTACAATTTGTTACCCCTAACCTCGAGATAGCCGCGAGTAATCGGCCCCCGCTTTACTAACGTTAATTATAAGTAATTTTGTTATCTAAACAATGAATATCGGCTCCGCAAAGCTACAGCAAATGAACCTGGAAAATAAACGCATTATAAAAAAATATTCACGATGTGTTCAGATTAACGAGGGTCCACGGTACATGCAACCGAAAAAGAAAGACAACTGGGACTACACACAAAAAATTATCGTTGTTGAAATTAAAAAAATCGTTGGTAGAATTAAAAGTTTGCGTTGGTTCTTTTTGGTAGAAAGCGGTTAGCTTTCAAAATAAAAGTTAGCCAACTGTCAAATCAAAAGTAGTCCACTCACTACTTTTAAAAGTTTGAACTTTCAAAATGAATTGTACTACTGTCAATTCAAAAGCATCACAGTGTTGAAATTAAAAGTGGATTATTTTTTAACCAAAACAAACTATTAACATGAAAGTTCCTTACTGTTACAATAATATGTACCATTTCGATTTAAAAAATCAATATTTTCAGTATGAATACCAGCATTTTCAATCATAACAATCAAATTTTTCATTTAAAAATCTATTAATTATAAAATTCCTATTTTTGTGCTTCAATTTCAAATTCCAAAAATAAATTTATGTTTTAATATTGAATATTTTTATAGTTTACATGATAATTATTAGATTTTTGTATGGTTAGATAGACGTCGTATAGCAGCAGTCAGATTTTGCACTGCATCATCCATGTCTGTTGTGGTCCAGTACGGAGCAACAAACTCAATGAACTGGTGGCTTCGTAGAGGACATGTTCTATGTGGGAAGCAGCCAGCGAAGCGTCGTGGATCTAATCTAGAATGGTATATAGAAATTAATGAGAGTGTAAAAGTAAGGGGTATAATCTGAAATAATCTTGTCCAAGCAGGGGGAAATTTAAGGTCACTTACTGGAATCTTTGTCGGACATTTGCGAGGTTTGCGTCTGTTCGAGAGTTTCTTGTACTCGTGTTCGATTTCACTACCGGCATTGGCGAGCTGCTCATTTCTAGAGCCGTATAGACGTCCTTCAGGTAGTTCCAGGTAGGTTTTCACGTTCTAATGGACGACCGGATTCTACTGAAAGATTAAATATTTTATTCTTGATCGAGACAGGGAATAATTTCAATACTCAACTGTTGCATGAGTCGATGCACAGGCTGGTGGCTGGTAAAATGTTCCACCTAATGTTTAGCGCGTTTTGTTTTTATATACTCACGCTACCGTAGAATAACCCATAAAAAGGTAGAAATCTACCCATGAAGAAGTAAATTTGACAGTAAAACAATTTTCGATTTGAAAATTTGAGCTTTTAAAACTACAAGATAAGATCAAAACATTCGTTTTTGAATTGAAAATAACATTATTAAATTAAATATCTTCGTAGTTAGGGTAACGAATTTGTTGATACTTTTAAATTGAAAGTTCAATATTTTTACTGGTACAATTTTTGTTTTTTGTGTGTAGTTTTCTAAATTAAGTAATAGTTTCATCTGAATTCTCAACTAACCATATCGTGTCTCAGTGACATTGCCTCATTCTGAACCTACATTTAAAGTTATTTTGCGATTATATGGTTACTTGACTACTCACATAAAATACCGTGCAAGTATTGCGCATTTTGCACCTTCTTAGACAACTGTGCAGAAAATTTCTGCACAGTGAATATTTTCGCACACCCAGCGTACACCTATCTCTTACTCACACAAACGTAGCCTAGCTATGTCAAAGAGAAAGATCGGGCAATGCTAATTTTATAGTCTCTTTCATTCCCCTACTGTTACCATTTAACAACAAGTGTGACGTCAAACTCACTGTTCCATTCGAATGCGAGCGAAGGAAAAAACAACAAGCTGCACATTGCCAGACCTCCTCTCCTTGTCTTGGATAGCCTAGTTGGCTTGTGATTTGACAGATCGTGAGAAATTTTATTTTGTTTTGTTTTGGTTTTGATGGTTTGCTGCTGCTGTTTTGAATTGTGAATTTTCGATCGAGGAAATTAATTAATGTGGAATCTACTCTGGTTGGTAAATGATCGCATTTGGTTTCCGTACTCGAATTAATTTTATTTGTGTTTTTTCAACAGAAATCGATTCTGAAATGGGATCCGAACCAGGAAATAATCACCACCGGGGAAGTGACGAAGCCGGTTGTTCGTACTTGACACTGTCGTAACACTGTCTGACATAAGGATTAAGTAGTATTAGTGAGTGCGCAACCATAACTGTCACTGAAATCTTCTCGCAGAAGTCTAAAAATTCGTGCAATCAACAATACTACAAGTTCAACAACGCCCAATTATGGATAGCTTTTTTTTTTTTTTTGTAGTCATCCAGTGGCAGCACTTGCTTAAACTCTACACTGGACCCCTTTTATTGATAAATTTGGCTTCTATGAGCCTCTATTTTAAATCAACACACAGACGTTCCTAGGCTATGGTGCCCGTTTGGTCACTGTTGTTTTTGTGCTGATCCAAATAGTTTTGATATTATAATTGCGCATTCTTTTTTTTTTAAGTTTGATTTTTGTCCCAGTCTTGTCTTCTGTCGTCACTTATTTTGTCATTTTGTCTTGTGTATTAACCCCCACTTGTCTTGTTTATTGTGTCAACTTGTGTCTATTGTCCTTCCCCATCTGTTACTCTGTCATGACTAATTTCATTGATATATAAAAATAGTAATATCAATTACAGGATAATATGGCTATTTCTCGATTACTTTTTCAAAGGGAAGCACCAGCTCCTGCAAATAATGCATCCGATCGGTGATCCGGCGCAACCGGCAGCTCGCACACGCTTATCAACACCACCAGCAGGTAGAGGAAATTTTCCCCTATCTGATGATAGTGCCAGCCCGCGTGGGTGAGCCACCAGTTAAGCCAAATCAACGACCAAACGCACCGCCTACAAAGCCGATACGCTACCTTGAAAAAGTTATCGAGATTTCTACTAATTAATGAATTATTGACAATTACCTCTCATGATCCTGGCTCTGATTTTAACTTACCACTTTTTGATTATTTATCAAATACCTCTCCCAGAATATATAACTCCCCGATGCCTTGTTGGTTTCTGGTCTCATTTGGATTGGTCCTGAATTTGTTTGACATCCTGTTTGAAGTAATTCTTTGAGTTCCAGCTTGTACGTGTCTCACGTCATATGATTCGCCATTCATAAAGATAATGGGTTAAAAGGGAGTAAAACATACATAAAGGTAGATTAGTATTAGTTGTACTTGATCCAAACAATAGAAAGAAGCATAGATGACTTAGTAGAAAAATAAAACTGAAATATAACTAAAAGTACAATGGATAAGTGTTAGATCCGGGATCATTTTAGTGTTAGTAGTTATGTTAGTTTTGATCCGTATTCAGCCCTGCCGGCCCCTCCAGCACTATTTGCAGCAATTGTGATAAGATTATGCGACACTGCTACTAATACTATGTTAGATGTATGACTTGTCAATTTTCGCAACGCAATGTCTTTCAATAAATCACTCAATCAATTTGATGTTTGAAAATTTGCTCAAAAGGGTTTTGTTGACACATCATACCTTACCGAAAACTAAAGCACAACAATCCTCATTCTTATTTCAAACCTATCAACATATTTAACACATCTTTCCTAAAACTTCACTTGTTCGTAAGCGCCTGGTTGAAGATATGACTTTCGCTATTGACATTGTCTGTAATTAACAAATACACTAAATAGGAAGATTTATTATACAACTTCATAGGCTAGTCGCCTCCCTAAGCGGACCCCCCGCGTCCTATCTCTTATGTTAATTAACTTTCTGAATTCTCTAATTGAAGTTTATTTAATAAATAACTGAAATCTATAATCTACCTACACAATCATAACCCATACTTTTAAACTAAAATTTAATGTGTTTCAAGTACTTCTGGCTTTGACATATATTTATTATATCTTTGTTCGTCCCAGGTGACACCTTCAAGTGACTAAAATGCTTCACTTTGAAGTTAGTTTCCAAGCTAATTTTAAATTGTATATTGTATAGGGTAAATGTTCCAACTACGCTCTCACGTTTCCACTATGTGGCACCACAAAAATACATATGGGTATGTCACAATAGAAGCACACCACAGTGGAAATCCCGAGCCATAGTTCGAACACTTATCCCAAATCAAAATGAAGCACATATAAGATTAGTTACACAGGGTGCCTTCCATTCATTTTGACGAAAAACATGTTTTATGAAATTACGGAATAATAAGATATTTTGATCATATTTTGTATGTGTAAGTAACAAGAAAAGATTATAAAGTTTATGTTTGACACACAAAACATGCAAATTTAGCTTCAAAAGAGTCACAATGAGCGATTTTCTGATCGCCTCTTCGCGAAGAGTGAAGAGCGAAGAGTGGGTGAGATAAATGACAAAATCGCTTATTGCGACGCTAATGTAGCAAAATTGGCAGGTATTATGCGTCAGACACAAACTTCACAATATTTTCTTGTTGCTTACACAAACAAAATATTATCATATAATCTTATTATTCCGTAATTTCATAAAACATTTTCTTAGTCAAAATGAATGGAAGGCACCCTGTACAATACCATGTACAAAAATGATGTTTAACATTGTGTCCTGAGTAATACTTCAATGAAAACAACAATGAAAGCTTGTCACGCAAATAGAAGGAGCACCGTTGGGCACTTTCTGAAATATTTCAATAGTATAATTCCCTTGCAAACCCAAATAAATCTATCTGCGTAAAAATAAATAAAATAAGAGTGATTTGCGGCAAAACCCGCCAGTATCACACCCAACGTCAGTGCCTATACGTAAGCGTACTACGACGCGGCTCTCAATTAAAGGAGTAACAAGTGTGATACTATCACTGCTAGGCTAGATCTTTGGTTCTCTCATGCAGTGGTTTATCAGAGAGGGGAAGCTTAGTAATCCCCATTGCCTGCCCATGACGCCATTCTATTGCGGCATGAGCCAGCAACGCTGATCATAAACCTACCGTCTCCAACACTCCACTAGCATGAAATTAAGCCCGCCCACCAACAGCAAGGTGCAAAAACTAGCCAAGGGGAGGGTACAACGCCCAATTATGGATAGCTCAATGTTTATCATGTGTACTCTTTGATTCAGCGAACACCAACATGATTATCTGCTAGGAAACATCAAGGAGAATATAGAGATAAAGCTCGAAAATACAGTTTTAACTGAAAGTACTCAATATACATCAAACTAAATATCGAATACTGGGTCCTGCCAACCCATGGCACCTGCATAATGATGTGGGCCATCAGAATGGTTCATCGGTTGCGAAGAGAAGTACTTCTCAAACTGAAGCGATAAATTTATCAATGTTTTAACTTTATCCTAACGTAAACCTAATATTATTACCCATATTTCCGTCCACACCCGAAACCCATCCCCCACACAAAATCAAATAATAATGTTTGTGTACATGGCAAACACACCCGGACACCCTGTCATATACTCAAAATGAGTCTCGACCAACCTGACAAACGACGCCCTTACGCTCTCTGATCAAAGCGCAGGGTATTGTTGGAACCAGTGCTGAGATTTTTGTCATTATCATTTCATTTGCGAAAATCAATTTGAATCACCACAAATCTATAATTTTCCTGTTCGTAAGTGTGTTTCAGCTAAAGGAAAATAATCCAGAATCAGTTTATTTTTATTTTCAAGTTTGACATTTCGATGTGCGACCGCAAAATGACTTCTCTTTTTGAAAGGCACTCAGTTCGAAGTTCCACATATCTTATGTGCCCATTGTCCCCTACGCGCATACATGCATGCACACAATGCATTTCCTATAATGTTGTGTGTGCATATTCTTACTTCGATAAATAGGTATAATGATAAGAGAATAAAACTACTCACACAGCTGTTTTTCACGAATAGATTGCAATAAATACCAAGCATTCATACAAGTAGTCTCTGTCGTAACACTACCTACAATGTTTAATAGTTGAATCCTTCAGTCTGTACTTAACTTAGCTGCAGCCATGTCATTGTCGGACGTTGGATCTGCACTGCAAGGCCTCATTCTATCGCAGGGTGGCCTGAAGCTGCTGAAGGACCGGAACTGTATCGTGCGCTTGGACAACGACCCGAAGGACGAAACAGTAAAACTGATTTCCGGTGGGGGCAGCGGACACGAACCAGCCCACGCTGGCTACGTAGGCCAGGGAATGCTTTCGGGTGCCGTTTGCGGAAATGTATTCAGTTCTCCTTCGGTTACGGCAATTTTGGACTGTTTGAGAACGGTGACCGACCGGGATGGAGGCGTAATTTTCATTGTCAAGAATTATACCGGAGACAGATTGAACTTTGGAATTGCGGTGGAACTGGCACGAACCACGTATGGATTCCGGGACGTACGGATGCTGTTGGTTGGCGAGGATTGTTCTATTGAGAATGAGAAGGTGAGGAAATCGGTTGGTAAGCGCGGATTGGCCGGTGTCGTGTTGGTGCATAAGATATTAGGTGCTATGGCGGAGAGTGGAATGACGATTGAAGATGTTTATAGCTTTGGCGAAGGGCTTGTTGAGAGTGGAAATTTGGCTACGATTGGATTTACGTTTGAGCTGAACGATGGCACGTTGGAGAACATCGAGATAGGAAAGGGCATCCACGGTGAACCGGGAGTTTATACGATGCAAGCTTGCAAGGATTTTGAAGAAATAATCGATTTCATTATTGGTAAGCTGGTTACTAGTGTACCTAAATCGGCGGAAGTAGTGCTGTTGGTGAACAATCTTGGAGGAACTTCGGAATTTCTAATGAGTGTTTTCTTGGAGGCCTTTCTCAATAAAATTGAACATGTATACGGCGTAAAGCGGATCTACAGTGGAGCTTATCTAACTTCACTGGACCAGGCTGGAATTTCAGTGACTGTTTTGAACAATGGATATTCCCAGAATCTTTTGGAGTATCTGGATTGTAAAGTCAATGTTGCATCAGCGCTGTTCGGATCGACTTCTAGATTCGCTTTACCGCCATCAAAGGTAGTTACCGTGGAAGCATCGAAGCCATTGAAGATTGCCGAGAGCTCAAATGCGTGCTCGATTAGTTCGGAATTTGGCGCCAAACTTGCGTTAAATATTGTTCACTTTGTCTGCGAGGCCTTGGTTTCCTGTACAGGCATGCTGAACACCATCGATAAGGAAACAGGTGATGGCGATACTGGTAGTACCGTGGGAAAAGGAGCTGAATCTGTTTTGCAACATCTGATTGCGAAGAAACTGGATCTGATGCACCCCGGCATTCTGCTTCAACAGATTAGTATCATATTACAGCAGGATATGGGTGGATCGTCCGGTGCTTTGTACAGCTTGTTTTTCCAGGGCGCAGCTTCGACTTTTATGAATACAATGGAAGCCCATCAATCCATCGGGATCGAACACTGGAGTCAAGCTTTGAGCAACGGTAACGACAAAATCGTCAAGTATGCCTTCACCCAGCTTGGAGATCGTACTATGTTGGATCCTCTACGAGAAGGTGAGAAACGGCTGAAGCAGTCAATTGTGCAAGGATTACCATTACTCGACTGCGTGGAAAGCTTCACCAAAGGATGTGAGGAAGCAGCACGGGCTACTCAGCACATGGTTCCCAAGTCTGGTCGCGCTTCGTATGCTGCTTCTTCGGAAACTCCTAAATCCTACCAATTTGCAGATCCGGGGGCACTCGGAGTGTCCATTTGGGCGCGGGCTTTGTTAGAAGCTTGCAGACAAGTTATTGTTGAATAAGAAAGATTAATAAATATATTGGTTTCTGTAACGTTTTTTTTTCTTTTATTTTATCACAAAGCGAAAAAATATCCTTTAGGTCAGACGGACGTGGTCTCTGTATCTCAGCAATGATATCATTTTAGCCCAATGTTATCATCATTATGAAGTTATGCCAAGAAGGAATCAGAAATAAACAAAATGCAGCCTGAAACATGGTTATCGAACAAGGATACAACCATTTGAAAGAGTTGGGCTGCTAAATTAGGTCATCGAAATTAGATCGTTTGGGCAATGAAATGCTTTCTTTCACGTAACACATAAAATGGTTCCATATTTAACAGTTTAGAAGTCAGTCATTTTGTATTAAACAAAATCGGATCAGAAATACAAACAAAGGAAGTATTCTACGAAAAAAAAAAAAACTTACATATACTACAATTGTAAAATAAAAGCAAAATGATACTTATCTCATCACATGTAGCCACGCAGGCAACATTAGAACATGAAATCCAAATCCGGAATCTCCACCTCCGGAAGACCAAACAGGAAACTGCGAGGTAATTCATCCGGTATCGGTTTGACCTGTCTCGCTGGAATCACCTTCTTCGCCAGTGGACGGGGCAGTTCTAGTTCTGGCAGTTCCAGTGGATCCATCCTCAGCGGTTTCATAGGCTTGATTTCCCGCCTGTAGCTAACGCCATGGAAATCAATCATCTGCTCCAGAAGATCGTCCCGCAAACAGGCTTCCTTTCCCCAACTGTACTCGGCGTCCAGTGGTGTGAATATCGGGAATGGAGCTGCTGCGAAATTCTTCGTTGCTACTGCAGGTTTTTGTGCATTGCTTTCGGTCGATTTCTTCCGAGAAACTGAAGAAGCGATGACGGACTTCTGCAGGAGAGGTTTTTTGATGGCAGTTGCTCCATCTGACAGCTGCTTACTGTTCAAATTAGCCCGCGACGAGGAGCTGTTGGTCAGATCTTTGAGGGCACTTTTGAATGGACCACGGGAGGCATTTTTGCCCAGCAATGGCGTTTCTGAAAATGCAAAGGATAAATAAATAACTTACTTGGAAATTGCAACAAAGAAAAAACTGGACTAACTGCCAATGCGCGGATTTTCGTTGGTATTCCGTTGCTCGAGAACGTTGAAAGCTCGTGTTGATGCCATCGTTGCTATGATTTTTCTGTCCACGGCAGTTTGGCTTTCTTTGCTAATCGATGAAAATGCAATGGAAGATTTTTATGTTAATCTATTGTACCTATTTTGTGAAAAATCTTTTGAATTTCACAGCTTTTGTTTTTCAAGTTTTTCTGTTGTTTTCTTTTTGATGGACATTTGCTTCCTTCGAGATTACACGTTATTTCTAAACCACCCAAATTTGAGTAGGATCCATCCATATCGGTCAAAGTGAAGCTACTCAAAAATGAGTTAAATAAGTTGGGAGTGACAAGTTGCAAAAGAACAACATCGACCTCAATCTTTTCAGTGTTGTTCATTTGTCAACTTGACCTATATACCAAACTAAGTTTACGCATTTTTGAGTTGCATAATTTTTGACCAACATTTGGGTAGTTTGGAAATAACGTGAATCGTTCGTTCGTTTATTGCAGACTTGTGACTTGTTCAAATATTACGCAACACTAAAAACACATTTGTTCGCACCCCCCATTCACAACAAATCGTAACAACCGTAACTCCCACGCCCATCCCTAGCCGTAACGGATAACAAGTCAATTTGCACAAAATAAAACTTAAAATTTTAGTTAACTAGCGCCGGTGTGAAACAATGTTTTGAGTAGAGCAACTTCATCAACTTTTAAATATCTATTATAATGTTTTATATTTTGATCAAAATTACGCGTAACAAACTCCAATTGATCCGCCATCCCCTAAATTTACCGTAACAATTCATAATTAAAATTCAGTAACCACCCACCTTCTTCCGATTACGTAATATTTCTTTGTGCCTACACTGTAACTTGCAAGTACCCATTAATGGGTATAAAAGTACCCATTATTAGTAAGTATATGAAGCTGTCAAATAATGGGTAATTGAATATTTTTGGAAATGGGTTCTTTTGTACCCATCTTTTTTACCCCTTCGGGGAAGAAAAATGAGTATTATTTTACCCATTATAGGGTGAAAATTATCTTGATCAATAGTGAATACTGTCTAACACAAATCATCTTACGAGGCCTTCAAAATGGTATTTTTATGTCATCTGTGCCTAATAAAATGAGTATTGAAATGTAAGTATTTATTTGGAATATATCTAGGCGGTGAACATTATGAAATTCAGAAGAACTTTAATAATTTTAATTTGCTTAATTTCAGATCCACAAGGAAGTGGCCGTGCACAAAGTGTTCCAGGAAAGGATGGCAAGAAGGAATTTCCGATGCAAAAGCAACACATTGCACAGCAGGGACAGGGTATGCTCGAGGGTATGCCAAGTTGGAAAGCGGTATGATCCTTCTAGGAGCACAAGAAGACTCTGCGGATGTAAGTGAACCTCCCGGAAGTGGCAATAATTATGCATTTTAACAATCATTATTATCGAAATAAATGAAAACAAGTTATTAATGTTAATGTTTCCGCCATTTCAATGATATATGTGAAAAATCAAATTAAAATTAATCTCTAAATAGCTCAATTATCGAAAATGTATACTTTTTACCCATTTTCTAAATAGTTTCATTTCTGAAAATGGGTAAAAAGTACCCGATGATTTGACGTACAAGCTCTTTACCCATTATTGGGTAAAGACGTTTTACCCATTTTATGAGTTTACGCACTTTACTTCGAAATGGGTACTTTTTCACCCATTAATGGGTACTTGCCAGTTACAGTGTATGCAGCTGCAGCTGCAGCCATGGCACGAATGTTCATTGAATGATAAACGTACAAAACGATAAAACGATATGTTTAGACTAGCGAAGCGACATGTGCTGCTCTCTGATGATGAATAGTGATAACATAAACACGGAAAGAAAATGCATTTTAAAAACCATATAAAACGTGCACGGAGATGAAAAACTACCCAAAATTAAGTACTTTTCCCTCAATTCTGGGGTTCAGCCCAATAACCCAAATTTGAGTAAATCGCATATAGTAGTTTCCATTTAACACCAGCAAAAAAATTACCTACTCTTAAGTATAGTCTACCCAAAATTAAGTTTAATTCACGTAAATTTGAGAATATGCAATTTACTCAAAAGTAACTTATTGGGCTGAACTATATCGTTGGGTCGAATCTCTCGTTCCTTTTTTGACAACAATAACGAGTGCAAGTGAGAGGCTGAAGTCAATATTAAGTAAAAAGAACTCAAATTTTGGGTAGTATTTTTTCTCCGTGTGTGTCACCTGGACATAGAGATTGCTGACGTTTACACGGCGAATGAGAACGACTCAAATTTGAGTTTAGTTCACTCATAATCGCCAAAAGTGCAGGAACTCAGCGATGAGTAAATTTGCCTCATGTTTTCCCAGGTTGTTCCAGGATTTTCCAAGGAAAAATTCCCGAATTTGAGAAAAGTAAAGATTGGATTCACTCAAACTATTGGTACTACTCCGAGACTGAATAAAATTTTCGTCAATTTCCTCATTTTCCGGCAGATTTTTTAAGTTTTCCACAGGAAACCACGAGACAAATTTTACTCATCGCTGAGTTCCTGCACTTTTGGCGATTATGAGTGAACTAAACTCAAATTTGAGTCGTTCTCATTCGCCGTGTATCGGACGCACACTACGTCACGTATACGTATACGCAAAATGTTTTCATCGGGGAAAAAAACTTCATAGCGGAAAATTTTCCCGATGAAAACAAATCACTGACCCAATAATACTTTAGCAATCTCTACACAGAAAAAAAAGTTGTTGAATGTTACATCCAAACTGCTGCACCCAGGTCAATCCATCGGTTGTGTAATATAACGTTGTACGATGTACATCGATTTTGCGAACAAAATTACATCCATTGATGTAACATTGTCTCTGCTTTTTGCTATTACATCATTATTTCGTACATCAACTTGAATTACATTGATCGATATTACATTTTTTTGCGGTGTAGGTGATGGTAGCTCCAACTTGAAAAAGTGTTTCCCAAATCGTTTCGGATCGATGTTTTTAGAATTAATCATTTTGTTCGACCATTTTCCACAGAGATGGCGCTGTTCCGCTGGTAGGAAGTGATAAAAATCCCCACATTAAAATTTAGAGAAGTGGGAATAATTCGCTTTCGGTGCATATTCAGGTCAAAAAAAGTGAACGACAACCTAAAGAAATTAGTCAGGGGCTTTGTCGTTCAGTTTTTTCCCGGGAATTAATGCTAAACAAGCTACAATTAAATAAAAATGATTTTTCCCCATACAATTTTACCTTATTTACTACCAGTCCCCAGAGAGCCAAAAAATTTCAAATTTGAGAGAGAAATTCTCTCTCACGAGCTCAATCTCTCAACATGCCATGTATTTTGTTGACACTCGATTTGTGATTTCCCTTTCACAGATTACAAAATAGAGTACCTGACACTACAAAACATGTCTGGTACCTCTATATATACATTTGCTTTAACATTTGAAGTCCCTCCTTTTTTACATGTTCTGCGCAAAAGATACTTTATGCCCCGCCCCATACATAAAATTCGGCGGGAAATTCTGTTAGGGGTGAGCTATTTTGTGTGCAGAATGTGTAAAAAAGGAGGGACTTCGAATAATAATCTAAATGCATATATAGAGGTACCAGGCATGTTTTGCACTGCAGTGTCCTCTGTGAACAATTATAGGAAAACAGATTGTGTCTAGTTTCCGATAGATGTCACCGCAAACAACAGCTGTGACATCTGATGGAACATGAATGCAGAAGCTTGACAAAATTATTAATTACTTGTTATTTTACACAGTTGTTTATTATTGTCCAACATGTCATTTTACATATTTGGTTCATAGTTTTGTACACGATTAACACTTGAAAAGGGCTTATGCAAAAATGATACGCATCAATAGAAAAACATATATCTCGCGAACGATTCGTTTGATCGAGATGGTGTCCGATACATTTTTCAAATTTTAGAACCCAATGAAAAATGACGTTTGACTTCGATATCGATGATCTATAGCCCAACGAATGGGAGGGCAGCTGGGGTACTGGTACTGGTCTAAATATAGGTCATAACCTAAACATGTAAACCTACTCTAACATCCCCGTTAAAGAATTTTATCAAGCAATTACCTCAGCATAATCTTGGTTGTGATGTACAGCGTGTCGAGCAATGTGTGGAGTACTTAATACATCCTGCGTCTCATTGGATCCAATACTGCCGCTTGGTTCAGCATTACACATTACCATAGTGTCACAAGAACCATCTTCTTCAGCACAACCATCATCTTCTTCTTCTGGATCTTCATTAGATGATGTTCTGGGGTCTAAGATACCGGGTTCAGGCGGAACCACTTCTGAGAAAGTCATGAGATTTACTTCCTGGTGCGGCAGAGCATGTCCGTCTGAAGTTGACGGGTTTGGATGAGAACCTTGTTTATCATTGGTGTCGTCCGTGATCTGGAACACGTAAACGCTCGACTCTAACGGTGGTATGCAGGACTGATCCGGAGCAATTTTTTGTGTAAACAAAAAAATTATTCGAACTACAAGTTTTTTTTTTCAATCAATCTTAATAATGTGTTTTATTTTGATATAACAAATAATGCCTATACAATATATAATTATCAAATTCAGGCTAGGTCTTAATTGTCAAATTAGCTTTATCTAATTAGTGGCAGATAAAAAGTTACCGGTAAAACCTGTTATTCGAGTGTAGAGTAATTGTTGGCTCCCTTGGACTATTTTCGGCAACTGAAATTCGAACGTTAATTCCAGTGAATAATCTCATCAAAACATATTTTTAAATGCATTGGAACGGTTCTTAGTGAATCAGTTGCAATTGTTTTTTACATTTTAACGACTAAGCCATCATGCCAGGTTTTTTATTAAATAAAATATGTGCACAACAAAATGCAACTGATCAACTTTAACTTTATGTGTTGTTTTTCTTGGCATAATAAAATTGAAAATTTGTTTAATCGTAAGATTAATTTCCAGTGACGCTAATGCCATGTACAAGGTAGGGAGTAGTAACAACCGGTGGAAACTAACGATTTTAAATTGGCTCAGTACTTGACTAGCCTATTAGTCCCAAGTAAATAAATTAACGTACCCCATTCTAGTCAAAATTCTAGTACTACACAATGTTTGTTTTGATTCGCTATGAAAGTTTGACAGATGAAATGAGGGTTAGTGGATTTTCCTATGTTTCGAGGGGTGAAACGATTAGCTT